TCTTTAGTCAAGTTAATAATTTGTATGTAATTGCAAAATGAGCAAGCTAATCTGACATCTTTAAGAATTGTATTACTACCATATATTCTCATTACATACTGACAACTGTAAAATACACTTTCTACTGTATTATTCTGATTCAGTCCGTGACATGCCTTCTTTGTTGTTTATTGGACATTGTACTTAAAAATAGTGTTTTTAACTATTGTAAAATATAAATTATGGTTACCAGTTCCTGTTTGTGATTTGATGAGAACATCTTGCCCACTGAGAATTGCTGGTATAGATTCATTCTGTACCTGGGTCACTTGACTTAGCTTCAATCGTTCCTCCAAGTTTGAAATCTGCAATATAATAAATATGTTCAGTAGAATGTATTTTTATATTAAAGATATACTGTTAGAAATGAGCCAAAAAGAAATGAAAGATATATAATCTATATTTAAAGTACTTACAATAAGTTACATTTTAAGTAAGTTATGAATTCAAAGGAGATTTAAAGGATTTAAACGAGAAAAGAAATTTCCCATCATTTAGTGGACGTGTCCATAAAACAATGCCTTTGCTGTATTCTTTTGTATAAACCTTAAATTGTCTGGTAATCAACTTAAGGATTTTTGTAGGTATTTAAATCAGCAAAACCTAGTTTCAAATAGGAACACAACATGATAAAAATATTATAACCTATCTTTACACAATAATAATGATGATGATGATGATGATGATCAGCAGGATGAGGATGATCAGGAGGATGATGATGAGAATGAGTATGATCAGGAGGATGAAGATGATGATGAAAAGGAAATTTGGGCTCGCCTCTGAGGACCCGTGGCAGCCGCAATGCAGCACCACCTGATTTAACTACAAATATTTAACAGACACACACGGATACAAACATTCTCCTTAGCCTGCCCAACTCTATATGTAGGTTATTCAAGGAGCCAAGGGATCAGACTTCAAGTAAAACCCAACGTTGGTCAGGTTTGAACTGGGGCTTCCAGCACCAGAAGCAGGAACAAACTCTTGTCCAACCGATCAGTTACATGATACATACCATGAAAGGATGAAGATTTAAGTTCTTGAAGTTGGAATCTGAAAACAACCCTTCATTATGCTGCTGGACGGTGTTCCTACAAGATTTTAAAAACAAAGTAATCAAAATGATTAAAATTAAAGACTAGGTTGGAAAAACCAAAAATTGATACGTTCACCACAATATCATCACGATCATTATCATTATTA